TTGGAGTGTGAGCAATAACATTTATGAAGGGATCAAGTCCATCAAGATTGATCAGTCCGTCAAGATTGATGGACTGACCACATCGACTCAAGGTTGAGGGACTGATTACCTCATTCTCCACCTGTTCTTCAAGTTTCTCCTATGTATGGACTGATGAAGCCACTGTGTGGCGAAACATTTCCTCAATAAAGATACCCAAGAGTTGCACATATGTCTAATTTATCAAACCACGTACATGTATGAGCTTCCTGAGTCCAGCTTCCCAACGAACCCAAGTCATCCTGCGGATGTTGACACCACGCTCGCACAACCCCCCCTCCCTCTCAACAAGCATCCCCTACCCATACTCCACCATCTCCGTCCTCCACAACCCTCTCCTTCCTCTCCAATATTCCTCCTCCCTCATACATCTCTATATTTGTCCTCTGACAATATTATTGATCTCTTTCTCTTCCACTCATTACTCAGCTCTTTCCTAACTCATTACTGCTCCTTTTTTCCCCTCCTCCTGCACTTCGTCTTCTTTTTTCTCTTCTCTATCGTCTTCATTTCCCTCCTATTTTAACGTTTCTCCTTTTCATTTCCCTCTTCCTGTCCTCATAATAATAATTAATGATAATAACAGTAATAATAAATGACAAGTTGGCACCCATATAGACCAAACTCTATACGGAAATACTTCTAATTACGATACAGCAGCGCTGAGTGTTTGAAGCCAATCGAAAGAGACGTTCTGTAGATATAAACTTGGAAACAGTTTACTTAATAATATTGGCGAATTGATATATACACAGCTCAGAATAAGGTGGGATTTAATAAAGCCCACCAATGGGGAAAAGCTTATGGTGTCCCGTAGCTCGGTTGGTAGCGCACTCAGCTCACACAGTGTGGTCCGTGGTTCGATCGCAGGTACAGGTGGAAACATTGGGAACGTGTTTCCTTAAGGCACCTGCTGTCCCTGATCACCTACCTACAAGTAGGTACCTAGGTGTTAGTAGACTTATGTGGGGCACATCCTGGGAACAAAACTGACCTAATTTGCCCGAAATGCTCTGGTCACGGACCGGGCCGCGGGGGCGTTGACCCCCGGAACTCTCTCCAGAACTCTCTCCAGGTAAATAACAAGGGGCTTTCTATATAGTAGTATGTCATGGATGTCAGCTATAGTCTGTTACATGCTGTATAATGTAGTTATAGAAATAAAGATTATTATTTTAAGATCAGAAAGAACATTCTCCAGTAACTGATCTGAATCCAACGATTCCAGGTTTTTCAATAATTCCAGTAACTATTTCCAATTTGCACCAACTCTGACTAAACTTATGGGTATCATTCTTCTTATAGAACGCCTCGTCAGTAATATTTTGATGCTAATCGGAAGAAGCATTCTTTAGTTATTATACGTAAATGAATATCACTATTAATTCAATAATATGGGTAAATTAGGACTGAGGCCATACCATTGGTAAAATTTGAAGCTGATCAGATGATTCATTCTCTAGTTATGGCATGGATTCCAAGTGTTTTTTAACCACTTTTCTACAGGAGGGCCCCACTTAACAGCGCTTCGCTTTAGTGTTTCACTAATACAGCGGTTTTTAATTATACCCACTCTTCATTTATTTAGACTTCCTTCAATATATTCACCACTCACCATAAGCTAAGGACGGAAACATTTTGAGGTAGGTAATGTGTGTATTGTGTATGCATTTTTTAGGCCTAGCTCTAGTGCTCACTTAACATATGATAGTGTAAACATGTTATCAGGCTTTTATATGCATTTGAACATAAAAAGTTATGTTTCACTTTACAGCGATTTTAATCTTATTGCAGTAGCCCATAACCTAACCTGCTGTATAAGCGGGGCCCTCCTGTGCATCAAAATTTTTTCACACCATTTTACAGTCAAATCTGCAGCTACACAGTTGAATTTCACGTTCCTACCTTGTCGAATTAAGAGGCACACTTAATGAATGATGCTCCGCCACTGAGGATTTTGGAAGTAACCCCAGACATTCCAGGATGCTGGGAATGGGTTTAACAACCCTGGTTATAGGAAACGTGAACATGGCAATTGTTCCAAGAATCTGGTCCTCAAGCGCTGAAAATTTAAAGCCAATTGGATAAGACGTTCTCAATGAGCGAAATAAAAGCGAGAAGATGGAGGAAGAAAAAACAATGAAAAGAAAAATTTAATCTCTTAAAAGTCCTCCTTCATGAATACCTAATATTACATTCTGAATGACTTCAGTATTTAATGGCTGATGTATCTTAGGGCCAGGAAAGTACCCATTAAGTTTTATGTACTGGCAAATTTGTTGATTTATTCTAGATGTTGCGGCCGAAATGGCAAGTTTCTTGTGCACCCCATATCCATCCTGTGGACGGTAGCGCAAGACCATATGGATACACAAAAAGCCTAGGAACTAGGCCCCAAAAGGGTTAACAGGAGGACATTTGGATTTATATCTACAGTTCACTTACCTGTTACAAGCAAATTTAGGAAATTTCCTTAATATATCTGGTATCTTAATATCTTGACATCACATAGGTTATTATACTATATATTCCTCAGTAAGTGGACAGTTAAGCACACAGTGTTCGAGTGACGAAAGGGGTTAGCCACTTACAGATTCGATGATGTATTAAAATATTAAAAACTTTGAATAATTGAAATCCGTGCCGTAACTGGAGAATGGCTTATCTGATTGGATTCAAATTATCACCATTGGTGTGGTTTCTGAAAGTTAGATTCATTCTGTTATTGGGTGGAATAGTCCTGATTTGTCAAGTTGATGTTCAGTACTTAAAGAATGCTTATTCTGATCGGCTTCAAATTATTAATGCTGATGTATTCTGTAGGATGACACTTCATATGTTTAGTCTGAGTAGGTACAAATTTTAAATTTTACTGAAATTGATAAAACCAGTTTTGAATAATTTTCATCATGTCAATTACCTGAGAATGCCTTTTTTGATCGGCTTTGAACTTGTACCGTTGGTGGATTTTATTAAAAGATATCTTGTTCACTTTGATCTGTGTAGATTTCAATTTGCTCCTTTTATAAAAAAAATCCCTTGTAATAACTAGATAATGCCTCTTCTGATCGGCTTAAACCCAAAAACGCTGGTGTATCTTAATTAAAAGTGTTCTATTGATTTTGGTCTGTGCGGATGCCAATTCTCCAATTTTTTTAAAACAATTTTATCTAATTGTATTTTCTTAAAAATTCTAAAACAAATAATTTTTCTTATTGGGTTGTAGGGAATTTAAAACAGAATATAAATGTGAAAAGAAAACTAATAAAAATATAAATTCGCGTTTTTAGGGAGTTTTTAAACTTACCAGGATAGATTTATCTACTTTTTGGAAATTTTCCATAATATTTTCAGTTCTTAGAAAAATCGTATATAACTTATAGCTTCAATTTTTCAACACTAGTGTACTGTATCTTGACTCAAGAAATCGTAATGTCACACCTGCAGACCAACCACGGTACGGGCCCAGTGGCTAACGCGTCAGTCAGGAGTTTTACGACACACCGCGAGTTCAGTCCCCTCCCGTACCGTGGTTAGTGTACTGTATCTAGGACTCGTGAAATCATAATAACACGATTGCACACAAATCATGGAACGGATGGGGTTTGAACCCATGGCAAGCGAGTTTTAGGACTCATTTGCCATGGGTTCGAACCCCACCCGTTCCCTAATTTGTATCTAGGACTACTGGTATACGTTGGTGTCCGGTGGACAAAGTTACATTGACTATTCCTAGATTTTGTATCCGTGTAATAAGCGGAACAAAAAAAAAAAAATAATCCTCTGATCAATTTTAAGATTTCGACACTGTTGTATCGTCCCTGGAAGAATGTCGGTGGTGTTATAACGGGGAATTTAGGTGCCATTTTGACAATCTAGAAATAGTATCATATTGTTTTAGATTATTACTTTGTTTTACTTGGTATTATGTTTGTTTTAGATTATTGCATTGTTTAGCCTAGGTGGTGATGAGTGGCTCTTGAATTAAGGAAGTGGGGGTGTACCTCCCTTGGATCACGTATTGGCCGAGGCTGTACATCAGGGGCATCAGCTGTACCCCAGAGTAAACACAGGTGTCTATTGACAGGGTAATCAATCATGTTGGTTGTTAATTGTGGTGAGAGGATGGGGATAAGTGATGAGATGGGTGAGGGAGCTGGTCATGTAGTGATGGTGAAGGTACTGTGTGTGAGTGTGTGTGAGTGAGGTTGAGTGAGGGTGAGTGAGGGTGAGGTTGACTGTGGGTGAGGGTGAGTGAGGGTGAGGTTGACTGTGAGTGAGGGTGAGTGAGGGTGAGGTGAGTGTGGGTGAGGTGAGTGTGGGTGAGGTTGAGGGAGGTAGGGTGAGGTGAGTGTGGGTGAGGGAGGGTGAGTGTGGATGAGGGAGGGTGAGGGAGGGTGAGTGTGGGCGAGTGTAGGTTAGTGTGGGTGAGAGTGAGGGTGAGAGTGAGTGAGGGTGAGTGTGGGTGAGGGTGAAGGAGGGTGGGTGAGGGTGAGTGTGGGTGAGGGTGAGGGAGGGTGAGTGAGTGAGGGTGAGGGTGAGTGTGAGTGAGGGTGAGGGAGGTTGAGTGAGTGTGGGTGAGGGAGGTTGAGTGAGTGAGGGAGAGGGTGAGTGTGGGTGAGGGTGAGGGAGGGTGATTGTGATTGAGGGTGAGGGAGGTTGAGTGAGTGAGGGTTAGGGAGGTTGAGTGGGTGAGGGAGGTTGAGTGAGGGTGGGTGAGTGTAGGTGAGGATGAGGGAGGGTGAGTGAGGGTGAGGGAGGTTGAGTGTGAGTGAGGGTGGGTGAGGGAGGTTGATTGAGGGTGAGGGAGGGTGGGTTTGGTTGAGGGAGGTTGAGTGTGGGTGAGGGAGGTTGAGTGAGGGTGAGGGAGGTTGAGTGAGTGTGGGTGAGGGAGGTTGAGTGAGGGAGGGTGAGTGAGGGTGGGGCTGACTATGGGTACATTTCCCGCGTCAGCAACTAGCTACAACAGTGTGCGACCAGACATCACAGAGTGAGGGTGCTGCGTCGCTCTCTCAGGTGTTCGCGAGTGTGAGAAATTAACGTTCCTGTCTAATGTTACTCGGTGATTTTGCGTGAATAAACCCAACTTTTATCCAAACAACTCATTCCTGCAGTCTCATAACAAGGTAAGTTACCAAGAACATTTCTAGCTATGAAAATTCATCCGTATGGTTATGGGGAGAGACCAGTACAGCGACCCACTGTAGGGTGACCAACTGTGAGGGCTGAATCAACATTACCTCCCGAAATACAACCAACAAACTACAGGAACTACTTTGAGGTTGTTGACAGAGTTGAGAAGTGATGCAGGAAGAAGTTTGAATTGGTTGTGGGTGTGGGTGAGGTGGGGAGACCATAATAATAACAGCAGCTGCTGGTTCACCACCCCTCCCACTTCAACAATATATGTACACACACCTCCCATACTTCCCCCCTCCCCCCCCACCCTCACTCTGGTCTCCCTAGCAGATGAACATAATCGTTATAATTCAGCATGATGTTTATACAGAGATGAGGAACATTTAGGTGTGCATGCAGGAAGCTCTTTAGTATACAGAGCATTTTTTTAGCAAACTTAAGCCTATCTTAAAACTAAAAAAAAAAAATAACTAATTGATTGCTTATTTATTAGGTCTCTACCCCTCAAGGGAGGTTCATTATATACGGTCTCTAAGGGGTCATAAACAATAAATTTCGGAATTAGACTATGGCATATGGCTTTTGCTTCGAGGATCGAACCTAATTATCTTCCCAGGCGCTGTATAATCCCTACGGTTTAAGAGCTTCCCTCACGAATCTAATATTGACAATACAAAATCTCTCGCCTGGCATCCTGACCCCCTCAGGCAGGGCACTTTAAGGTCTGATCTTAAGGGAGTTTTGGCCCTTGTCTTTATATGTACTGTATGATATAATTATGTATGTCATATCCTCCAGGAAAGTACCTTGATGTTGGTGAGGAGCTCTTAATCTAGGGAACTGGATCCTTGCTCCGCTTCCTTGAATTAAGCCTAGCGCATACCTCCCACAGGCGCTGCATAATCCTACGGGTTTAGCGCTCCCCCTTTATAATAAATACTAATAATGTATATGTCATTGCTGTTTTAATTTATCTCACATTAGCCTGATTAATTCGTAACCCTTCGGTCCGACCTGAATCATTAACTAGACACACAAGCGCAAAAGGAAAGAGGCAGTATTTATACGAGAGGGGGGCGGGCCGGGAGAACGAGTAGTAGTATAATGGTTATGGTGTTAGTAGTATAATTGTAGTATAATAATTATGGCAGTAGTAGTAATAAGTATTGAAATAGTAGCAGAAGTGATAATAAAAGAGTACATAATCAGGCTCCCTTCCCTTCTCGCTTCGGTGTGACTGGTTAATAGTCCAGATAAGACCGAAACGTGGCCATAAGTTTCATTCAGCAATATGCGAGTTATTTTTGTATTGTTCCAGTCGAGGTATTTTGCCTTTTTATTCTTTAAGTAACAGGATAATTAGAAGTTTATACTGAATTCAAGCGAAGCGCGCAATCTTTACATTAATGGTATACAAGTTGATGAATAAAACATGCAACACCTGGGTATGTTTATTGTGTAGACGTTTCGCAACCGGTGGTTGTATTGATTCAATATACGTATAGCTTATATTATAAATGAGATATTTGTTCGATATTTGAGCATCTATTCTGGAAACCCGTCAAGAGAGGTTCTTCGACGCTGGTGAGGGGCTCTTGATCTAGGGAATTGGATCTGTGCTCCAGTTCCCTGAATTAAGACTGAATACCTTCCATCCCCCCCCCCACAGGCGCTGTATAATCCTACGCGTTTAGCGCTTCCCCATGATTATAATAATATTCTGGAAACGTTTAGTCAGCCAGTTGCATCTTCAGTCTAGTGCAGAGAAAAAGTGAAAGATGAAGAGGAGGATAATGTAATCAGTCCCTCAGCCCGGAATCGATTGACTGAACACACTGACTTCAGACTGAGGGACTGATTACCTCAAACTACTACTCATTGTCCATTGCTTGGCGAAACGTTTCCAGAATAATGATACCGAAATATTACACAAGTATTTCATTTATCAGTTTGTCAGTTATCTAAACCATTTATTGCGCTGTATAGCCCTTGTGCTTTAGCGCTTCTTTTTGTTAATAATAAACCATTTATTCAGACTTAATATACAGAAGTCTGTGGAAGGTGAGGTGTTCAGTCCCATAGTCTTGATTCAAACTGTGGGACTGAAGGCCTTCTGTCAAGACTTGGGGACTGATTACCTTATCTCTCACTGTCTTTTGTACATAAACTCCGTATTGAATTGATAAAATATCTGGAGAAACGTCTCCACAAAAATAATAAGATTTATCTTCCATTTTACAAGTTAATAATGACAAATGTACACATCTCTAGGAGTAAACTCAATCTCTGTCCCCGCTAACCGACTTTAGATGAGTGATGATGTCTCTAGATAGGTTATAATACATTTACACTTCCCTTCATAGATGCCTTAATCCTGGTGAAGGGCTGTTAATCCAGATAAAATGGGAGTTACTTGCCATTACCCATATTGGTTTAGCGCTTCCCAATGAATGCAATTTATTTATACTGGTGTGTTTGGCGGGGGAAGAGACCAGAGGGACACACGCATACACGTGAAATAACCATTCCGTATCTATTTTTGAACCTTTGTATGAGTTCTGTTTACACTGCTGTTCTGTTGTACATTCAAATTCTTTACCCCACTGGTTCTTAATTACTGATCCCCAGTACTGGTTAACCAGATAGTTTCTTAATTACTGATCCCCAGTACTGGTTTACCAGGGAGTTGCTTAATTACTGATCCCCAGTACTGGTTTACCAGGGAGTGCTAACTATTGATCCCCAGTACTGGTTTACCGGGAATTGCTAACTACTGATCCCCAGTACTGGTTTACCGGGAATTGCTAACTACTGATCCCTAGTACTGGTTTACCGGGCATTGCTTAATTACTGATCCCCAGTACTGGTTCACCAGGTATTGCTTGATTACTGATCCCTAGTACTGGCTCACCAGGAATTGCTTAAGTATTGAACATCGTCTGTCCCAAGCAATTTTTCGGGCCCTGATGAACTTAGCAAACCATTGGCTTGTCTTTTCAACGTATCACTACAAACCGGCATAATGCCAGATAAGTAGAAAATGACAAATGTGATACCTATCTACAAACCAGGAGACAGGGCTTTACCTTCGAATTATAAACCAATAAACCGAACCTCCGCGTGGGAAAATTGATGGAATCGGTAATTGCCGAGGCTAGAGTAACATGCGAGAGACATAAATTGATCAATGAATCTCACCATTGTTTTACAAAGGAGCATTCCTGCCATACGAATTTACTAACTTTTTTCACTAAGGTATTTGAAGTGGCAGATCATGGTAATGAGTATGATATTGTGTATATGGAGTTTAGTAAGGCTTTTGATAGGGTTCCACATCGGCGGTTGAGGAAAGTAGAGGTACACGGAATAGGAGGGGAATTTTTGCCTGGATAGAGGCGTGGTTGACAGGTAATAGTTTGCGTAAATATAAAAGTAATGGATGATCAGTACCATAGGATGAATCTGAAACACTGGCAACAAGACGGTATGATGCTGAATACTTGCTGCTAGGCTGAGGGACTGATCACCTCGTTTTCTACTTCAATCTTCTATTCCTTTGATTATAAGAACAATAATCATCCAACCTTCTGTATAGTATTGACAAAGCCACTAGTTATTGAAACGTCTACAGAATAAAGATACCCAGATGTTGCATATGTTTCTAATTCATCCTGTCGGTATTATATACTGCTGATATACACTGAGTAACGGGACATTCTTTTGTTGCTCAACGAGCTTATCCCGCCACCACATGTTTATTAATATCACCCTTGCAGATCTGGGTGTGTAATTTCCAACCATGTTCTCCTACCCTTGTTACATCCTTACCTAAAAGACTATCGTTAATCGTCCCTAGCCTCGTACTATTTTGTTTTCACAATAGGTATCCCTCAAAGAGGGATGACAGGGTGAGTGTCGCTGCTACAACCAAGTCACAGTTGTATTAGCTGTAAATTCTTCCTATTGTAAGCTTCATGGTTCATTCGTACAGTTTTGGTCCTGGTTCCTTTTTATTCTTCTGTTTGTCAAGTCATTCATTGTGGTGTGGAACAAGATCAGGCGAGAAAGAAAACTGTACAAGACACACAACCAGGTGTGGAACAAATCAGTAATATACACACCAGAGCATCCCTCCACCCCCCCTCAAAAAAAAAAAAAAAAAGGAATTGGTTATTGGCGGTAACTTAAAAGATAGGTAGGGCCTTTTTACTTGCTTCTGTTCCGATGGAAGACGACATGTACAAGTGTGTATCAACTGAGCACCTTTATTAAAGCATTAAAGATACCCAGACATTCCACATCAGCATAGCAGCATTGTATTCCTTTATTTTAGCTTGTGCAAAACAGTAACCTCTATATTTACCTTCTGAATGTCAGTTATGTACGTACTTTCTACAGGCTCCTGAAACATACTGATGGTGTGAATGGGATCTTTGTATCATATAACTGAACATTCAAAGTGATGGATAATTAACCTTGCAAGATTTTTTGACTTTAATGATTTAATGAGGGGTTTTAATTACTGCTGGTTATTTTAACTTAGTGTGATAGTATTTGTGTTGAGCATTTGTGTTCCCTGCATTTATTGTGTTAATTTTATCTTTTGTTTTTATTGTGTGTGCGCCTGCTGTATAATTTTTTTCCTGGCTGTGAGAGCAGTGACCTACTAGCTCAGTGCTTCGTGTCACAGCTAACGTGTGAGTTTACGATTTACATTTACGTTGCTTTTGTCTTCGTGGCAGAGAGAGAGAGGTGGATTTATGTGGAACGTTTATTTACTACGTTACAGGTTTTATAATGCCACTAAGATATATTTGGTTCCGCCTGCACTGCAGGTTTCTTCAGTCGAGTACAGAGGCGTCTATAATACTGGAGACAGTGGAAGAAGTAGATAGTTAATTTATGAGTTGATAATCTGTTTAGTCCTTTAGCCATGATTGAAGGCCATCAGTCGCTTACCCTAAAGTAGAGGCATGAAGATGGAGCCTT